GGGGCCGGCGCGCCCCCCCCCGCCAGCCCTCCAGCTGCTCTGCCCCAGGCGTCCCCAAGAGCAGCTGGGGTGCTGTCGGGTTGGTCCCGCAGCCCCAAGGGGCAGCGCTACGGGACCAACCCGTCAGCATCCCAGCTTTCCCGATTCAGCTGCTGGTCAGTTTCAGCAGCAGCTGAATGGGGGAAGCCTGTCCGGCTGCCCCCGCACTTCCGGGTTCCTGATGGTGTTTTACTGTAGTTACAAGAGGCTGATAAACAAACAATGGAGGTTCTAATTGTTCTTAGCTTCTTGTAATTACTTGAACAATCTATTCACTGTCTTTCTCCCCCCCCCCCCCCTTTTTCTTTTCCTGCAATATGTGCCCTATTTCCTCTTCTGCTCCACTTCCTTATTTATTCTTGGATCTGGACTTCTAATACTCCAGTCATCTGAAGAAGAGGGTTGTGCCCATGAAAGCTCATGATATCATTTACACGTTTTATGAGTCTTGAAGGTGTTACTAGACTGTTTGTTGTTTTTTAAGTTTTTCCTGTTACAGAGTAACTCAGTGACCCCTCTGAAAATATTAATATTCATAAGCCAATTTTCACAAAGCACTGGAGGTCCATCACAGAGTCATCTGTAGTGGAACATATATATTCATGATCATTCAAAGGAGGAAAAAAGTTACCTGTACAGTAACTGTTGTTTTTCAAAAGCGACGAGGAGTCCTGTGGCACCATATAGACTAACTGAAGTGTAGGAGCATAAGCTTTCGTGGGCAAAGACCCACTTCGTCAGATGCAGGTAGTGGAAATTTCCAGAGGCAGGAATAAATATGCAGGCCAGGTTCAGGCTGGAGATGACGAGGTGGATCCAATCAAGGAGGATGAGGCCCACTTCTAGCAGCTGATCTGGAGGTGTGAATTCCAAGAGAGCAGAAGCTGCTTTTGTAGTTAGCAAGCCATTCACAGTCTTTGTTTAATCCAGAGTTGATTGTGTCAAACTTAAAGATGAACTGTAGCTCAGCAGTTTCTCTTTGAAGTCTGGTCCTGAAGTTTTTTTGCTGCAGGATGGCTACTTTTAGATCTGCAATTGTGTGTCCAGGAAGATTGAAGTGTTCCCCTACAGGTTTTTGTATGTTGCCATTCCTAATATCAGATTTGTGTCCATTGATTCTTTTACGTAGGGACTGTCCTGTTTGGCCGATGTATATAGCAGTGGGGCATTGTTGGCACATGATGGCATATATTACGTTGGTAGATGTGCAGGAGAATGTACCAGTGACAGTATGGCTGATCTGGTTAGGTCCTGTGATGGTGTTGCTGGTGTATATATGTGGGCAGAGTTGGCACCGAGGTTTGTTGCAAGGATTGGTTCCTGAGTTCGAGTTATTATACATTACTAGACCGTTAACTAATTGGTGTACTATTGTTTCAGTCAGTTTCTTTCTATAGTATATGGGAAATCCATATTCTCCTGTTTTTAGACCAAATAAAAATTAATGTGATGATAAAGTCCTAACATTATTTTCATAACGTTGGTTTACAGGAACAAGATTCTGAAGCTGTGTCACCAAATTGTATTTATGGAAGAATTTGAGTACATAAGTCACATAGTAACATTATTGAATTTCGTTCCCATTTTAATGGATTTTATGCCATATCTAAGTGAATTATATCGTAACCAACTAAAAATCTCTAACTACTATTTCATCGGTTTGTATATACTAGAGGCATCATTAAAGGTATTCTAAGAATTATATTTTTTCCATGAATGGTAATTTTTCTTGTTGTTTTTTCTTAGAAATGCAAAATTCTATTTAATGGAAAGATGCTTACAAATATTGTACAAACGGGATTCTTTTTGTTATAAAACACAATGACTTGTTTGCCCTTGGCAGGTTGTTCCATCTTTTAAATGATCTTCTATTGTATTAATGATGTTTTTTTCAGATTAACTTGAATTTTTCCACACCACAGCATAAAATTATTAACTTATTTTCTGAGCTTATTAATGGATGATTCTTACTTTTTTTATCCACCCACACTATTATGTCTTGTTCTTTGTGCATGACCATTTAGGTATACAGGCAGTCCCCAGGTTATGTACAAGATAGGGACTGTAGGTTTGTTCTTAAGTTGAATCTGTATGTAAGTCGGAACTGGCGTCCAGATTCAGCCGCTGCTGAAACTGATCAGCGACTGATTCCAGGAAGCCCGGGGCAGGGGCTTCCTGTAGTCAGCCACTGGTCAGTTTCAGCAGCGGCTGACTTGGGGACG